GAGGCCATCGCTTCGAGGTTGGAGGCCATCGCTTCGAGGTTGGAGGCTATCGCTCTTAGGTTGGAGGTTGTCGCTCTTAGGTTGGAGGCCATCGCTTCTAGGTTGGAGACCATTGCTCTTAGGTTGGTGGCCATTGCTCTTGCACCAAGTGAGGTCACCCGGAGCACCATACAAGCAAACACCTGTTCATGCTACTTGTTTTCCGGTGAACTAGGACCCCAATTAAAATGCAACAAACAAAAATTAACATGATTGGCCGCTAGAGTGTATATATATATATATCGTGTTCCCTGCAGCACCCTACCCAAGCTCATCCTGCTTGAGCTGCATTTGTTGGCGATGCGACGGGAGGACATTCTGCCAGGCATAGCCTGTGTCATGTTTAAGTCATCGGCCAGAATGTTGATCGCATGTGTAATGGTGCGAATGTCATAGACCGAGAGATTGCTCAAGTCCTTGATGAGAGTCTGCTCCTCGCCCTCTGCATCTTCCTTGAGAAAGGTTGCCACAGCCAAGAGACTTTGAAAGACATCTTGCTCTTTTGGGATCTTACCAAGGTTCATAATCCACAGTTCTTTTGAGCTGCCCAGTGATGAGCGATAGATGAGAGCGCACAGGCCAAGCAACACCATGCCACCAAGGATGGCCACCATCAAAGAAGAAACGACTGTACCAAAGGTCCACAGAACACGTTCTGCCTCTTCCCCACTGCTGTCAGCATATCCCAGCGAGTGGGCCAATAGCATCACGAGGAGTGACACTGAGAGACCGTCGACCAAGTTCAGGATGGGAGATTTCCAAGGCAAGAACCACACTTGAAGGCCAAACGATCCAAGCAAAATCATGTGCATCAGGGTGAGCTGCCTTAGATGTATGATCTTCGCTCCCACTCCAAAGCTTGAATCTGTGATGGGTCAGTTTTGTTGAAATAAGACAAGACATGTGCATCAAGGAATAAGAGGGTGATTTCCTGGCGGCAAGATGCAAACTGGGCATATTGGTAGCGATCACACCGGGCAAGGACAGCAAAGGTCCTCGAGCCAAGAGGACCAAGCCGAAATACCACACATCGGGCCGGAAGCGGAAGACCAAGAAGCGAATGGATGCCAGCCTTCGAACGATGTCACACATCGAGGTGTAGTCAGGGGGTGGAGTGTTCTTCCGTTTCAAGTATCGGATTTTGGTGTTTGGTCTGTTTTGCAGTTGCCTTGTCTGCTCTACCATCTGTGCCAAGAGCTTCGCTCAACTATCTGGCCAGCACAGCCTCTTCCTAATACAGTTTGTCAACTTCTTTAACAACTTCAGTTTATTGATGTTTCTTCCTATGGTCAGCTTCCTGCCAAATTGCTGAGTAACATGTGTTTTCTGACATTTAGTATCAACCAATGGTCAGCGCTTGATGGGTGAACGCCCAAACCGCAACGACGGCCTGGCTTTCCCTGACCACTTGGGCGCTTGATAGGCCGCATAGCAAGCTGCTGTGAAGAAGCTGCCGGCCAACAAGATCACCAAGGCTCCAAAGACTTTCATGATCACCTGACTTGCTAGCACGTGGACTTGCCCCAAAAAAGAAATCCCCTCCAAGCAGTTGCATGGAATGTGGGTGACTCTCTGCTTTTGAGTCCCCAGAATGCACACCAGCTGAACCCACTTGCTGAAACTCACCAGGACTAAACCCAATTAAGAGACAATGACCAACGATACTGTATGCTCTAGGGGGGGTTCCTGTACCTTTCACTCAGTGATTGAAACGAGCCAACAAAAACAGCCCTGAGGGTCGTTTCAAAAACTTGCTGTTTCTGATCAAAGAGCATGCTCATCTGTCCCGCAGAATACATTGGGATACTTCAAGATACTTTCTTGACCAGTAGGGTGTCGGTAGCACATAAAAGGCATGACGCCAACATTGCACATGGTCGTGAAGCCAACCTGCAAGAACTGTCCCAGCGTGCTGATTGTCTTGTTCTTCTCCCATGCTAGCTGGCGGCTCCTCAGAATGGGAATGAAGTTCGTGAGCAAACCAACAGTGGGCAACGCGAGAGTCACAATCCAAAAGAAAGATGCGGTGCTCACATATCGGCCCACATTACCACCGGCAGCACAGCTAAGGCCAAGAGCATCAAGGTTGAAGGTAAAGAGTGAGGCAAAATTCAGGATCGCTTCCAAGCCATCTGGCCACTGCACAGCAACGGTGTTCAAAACGCCGAGATTTTGGAACAGGGCCACTAGCATTCCCAAGGCTGCAGTGGTGGACATCATCACACTGGCTTTTGCCGTATAGCTCGAGGTTAGCATATAGTAGGAGCCAAAAATGCAAACAAGTGCCAAAGTCACTGACAAGGCCCATGCTGTTGACACCGCTCCACAAGGTTCGCATTGGTTGGAAGCCCAATAATATCCATCAGCGCAGTCGCCACAAGTCAAGCCTTTGCGGTCTCCAAAGCAAACACCTGGGGAGCCACCGGGGCAAAAGAGTTCCGCAGTGCATCTGTAGGTGTCAAGAGGCTCTTCTGGATTGCCTTGGATGCCACAAAACAACTGCACAACAACAAGGACAATCTCATTCTATACGAGAACGTGATAGAACCTAAAACAGGCTGAAGCAAATGCAGCTTGCTGAAGAAACCTTTCTTCACAAAAGGAATCTTCAAGTCTGTAGTTCCGTCTGCTGCCTCAAGCTTCTCAATAGTGCTACCTCTCGGGCAATGCATGCTTTGCTCATCACACTCCATGCATGTGGAAAGTTTCTCGATTTTCCCTTCTTGGCAAACGCAATCTGCCAGAGATGATGCACCCAACAAGAGTGTTGTTCGGGAAGCACCGCACGGGATGCAAGAGGTCTGAGCCGCATCTGGTTGATAGTCTCCCTCGTTGCACGGAGTGCATCTTGTGCTTCCATACATGCTGGCTGAGGTGCCCTTGGGACATGGCTCACATTGGGTGGAGTAAGTATTTGGTTGGCTGTAGCCAGGAGGGCAAGGCTTGCATTGAAAGGTCCTTCCCACATCATCAATGAGCTCCTCCGATGCGGTTCCAGCCTGACAAAGTCCACATCCAACTGCGGTTGTCCTGTTGGAGACAAAGCTCCCGGAAGCATCAACCAACCCAAAGCCTTCGTAGCAGCTGGTCTCCACTGGTTTCCATGCTGACCACCTCAGCTAAAAGCAAGGCACAACAAAAGTGGGTCACAACATAGATCTTAAAGAAAACATGTGGCTTGTCACAGATTCAGGGGGTCTTCTGTAAGGTTTCCCGTGTTTCAACACCAGAACAAGACAACAGTGATGACCAATTTGCTCAAAAACCTAGTCACCCTTGCCATCCAAAAATATCAAACCTGGTGGAACGTGTCGACCAGTTCTTGAACTACTTTTTTGATAGACCGTCGCCTGGCTCGATTGTCGCGCATCCACTTGCAGGAAACATTGTAGCTTGAACCTGACCGCTGAACATCCAAGAGAAGGCTTTGCACTTCCGGTAGCTCGAAATTGATGTTGGACACGAACCTGGGAAAAGTCTTTGGTCTGTACAAGCGTCGTTGGTTCTCCAAGACAGCAAAATTGACAGTGTCAATGCCAAGAAAGCTTTGGACAAAGGAGGTTACCAAGAATCATGATCTGCAAATGTTTCCAGCCGACAAACAAGTATTATAGGATGACACAAAGGCAACCACAAGCAAATGAACACACAGACACAGGCACACACCACAAACAACTCTGTCAAACGGTGAACAAACACTTGAACAGCCTACTAAATGGGACGAAGAAACTCGCGGACACGGCCAGCCTTCGATTGCAAGTTGTTGCTAACCATCTTAGACACGTAGCTTCCTTGGCCTCCCGTTTTCTTGTCTCCCGCGAGCCACTCATTGGCACTGTGACGAGCAAACTGCAGCTGCTCGGGCAACATGTCGATGAAGGTCGCATCTGGAACCCACCAATAATGGAGAGCCCGATGACTTTGAACGTGTTTCACAAACATGGACCATCCTCCGGAGATTGCGATGGCGGCTGGAATTCCATATGCAGTTGACCACTGCATCATCGCCTGCAACTTCCAACCATCCCCTCCTGTGAAAACAGGGATGCATGTGGAGGCATTCTGGCGGCATGCAGGTGCGTACCACCAACGATTGTTTGAACACTTGGCGATGAATGAACCGTCTGCTTGGCTCAGAACCCCATCGTAGTCGCCAGAAAAGCGAGCATAGTTTCCCATTCGATTCGGATGGCTCATGACCGTCTCGTTGCACAATGCCAATTCTGACATGTCCACATCGTGAATTGAGTCGAAGTATTTCCTGACTTGGCAGGGCTTATGCAGGTGGTCAAAATCATAAAAAGGCCTAGTACCCACAAAAGTATTCAGCTCATCCTTTCAGCAGCCCAGTCTCTTTGGGTCGTGATGCGTAGTGTTGTAGCCTCCGTTCAAGCGTCGGTCAAACTCAAACCACAAGGCAACCACCATTATCCACTGCTATCCACTGTTTGAAAAACCTACTAATGGCATCATTCCAGGTAGTACTCGCAACATCAAGTGATTTCAGATCCTCTGACTCAATGTGAGCCTGGCGCTGCAACAGCTCACCCCGCAAAACAAATATATATATATATAAGTCTATATTTATAATGGTACTCTTGGAAATCCAAGGAGACTCCGGTTTGCAACCCTGCTTTTTTAGTTCATGAGTTCCTTCCTCATGAAAATCGGCCATGTGTGCAAGGACAATCCCCGTGCATTGGAATTTGCTTGGGGATGGATGCTCATATCTATCTATACAACCACATCTTTTGAGGCTTGCATCATAAGTCGGATGGTCAACCATGGCTATTCTTGCAGCTTAAAGCCTGTTGCCTGTCACTCAATGTCAAACGGTCAAGTTTAAAAGACACGTCTTTCCAACTCTTTGGCAAAGTAGCTTTTGTAGAAGTCCAAGGCAAGACCGGAGTCACTGTAGGCAGCATGGAGAATTTCCTGGCTCACGTACATGGACTCTTCGCCCGAATATCCCATACTCCCCAAATCCTCGGCTGCAAGCCTTGGGTATTCCTTCGCAAACTTCTGCTGAGCTGCAGCGTGGGTTCCAGACCAGGAGTCCACACTGACATGGATCTTCGTTTCTGAGCCACAATTCTTTTCCTTGGCATTGTCGAAGTCGACGCATCCGGCCAATGCATAGATGGGAGAGGCTCCACTGGCGCCCACGCGGGGATCGATTACTGCATGAAAACCGAGAACCTCTTGAATCATCATCAGTGCCATGTTGTTGAGAAACGTGGAAGATGCCCAGCCGCATTCAATCACTCCAATTGGAATGTCGTTGCCCGAATCATCCTAAGCCATCGCAGAGTTTGGCACATTGGTCGATCTCAATTTTGCATACAACAATGCTGTGCTGATATCTGCTACAAGGGTTTCTTTCGCAGGTTCTCGTTAACACAACACCATGCATGCTTTGCATCCTGCCTGAATGTACTTTCGCTGGCTTTCTGGCACACCATCGTCGAGGCAAAGCTCAGCACCCGCTTGGCCCACAGTTAGCCCAAGAAGCACTACTGCCAAGCGCAGCAGCACTCGAAACATGGCTTCGAAGTGGACAGCAGAATCCAAATTGGGGGATCCGGATCTGTGCTGAGAGCCACAAAAAGCTTCCAGCACAAAAAGTCACCAGGGTGTCCAAGAGCTTCTTGATCTCTCAAGCAAACAGCAACTCTTCATACCATTGGTTGGGAGTTCGCTCCTTTGATGATGACTTTCTTTCAGCTTCCACGGTCATGGACATGAAAGCCGGCAGAAGGAAATGGACCAGCTCCATTCTGCGTCTGAGATTCAACTTTGATAACAATACATGTTTGCAGTGTCACCTTTGCAAGCTTATTTCATCACAGCTCCGCAGAGTTTGCTCTGCGCAGCTATGAGCAAGCCGCTGGCGACACTGCAACAAGACCAAAGCACTGGGACCGATACACACGCTCACTTTGACTGTTAGCGGGAATAGGTCCTGAGATGTCCTGAGAAGCTTGGAATTGCACCAAAGATTGGCCAACAGCTAGTAATCACTCAACCTCATATGCCATAAGATGCCACAAGTATTGGATGCCGCTGCCACCCTTGACATCTGTCATCAAGATCAGTAGGCAAACTGACTGAGCTTCTGAACAAAGAGTTTTGAAACACGAGACACCACGTCTTTTGGCAGCTGTGAGCATTCATGTTGCAGAAGGTGCATCCATGTATCCTGCTTGGCTTTTAGCCAGGCAACAAGGTCCCGGGAAGGTGGGCGAGGACAACCCCAGCCTCCTACCTTTGAGTCCATCTCCAAATGATCCCACCCTAACTCTCAAGCAAAGCACCCAGGACCAAGCGGAGACATGAAG